GTGCTGTAGTGCGACTGATTTATTTCCTATTAATATCGCTTAAATATAATTTACAAGAAAGGTAGAAAATAGGACGCTCACTAAACTAACCTTGTAAATTTGCTTTTAATAAAAACATTGATGTGAGCACGACGCTGAACGTGAGAATTATGCTAGCTATGCTATAAAATAATATTATTATAAAAATATAGTAAATTTGTACGGATGTTTGTCCGTACACTGGTATTACTTAAGAATAAGACTGCATAGAGTTTATTATAACAGCTCAATCGTTTAACTAGTACTAAATGTGCTATTTATGCCTAAGTCAAAGGAATTCCGCAAGTATGCTTTTGGTTAATTAGCAGACCGAGTTGAAACTTGGGAGCCCGGAGCCAAAACTTAATCTTAATTTAATGAAGTTGAAAATCTGCATAATTAAAGTATGAAGGAAGCATTTAATAAGGTAAAGGGGCCTAATTTAATTCTTAAACAAAGATAAGACCCTGTTGCTTTGTTGCACGTTTTAAGATTATTTGTACCTAACTAGGTTTTACCCGCGGCTTCTGCCGTGGTAATCTATTTTACTGTATTTAATCAATAGAAACAGTCAGTAATATACGCGAGTAGTATACTACTATTGTATAAAAAAAAATACCGCTTTAAACGCGAAATATATTAATTAATTTAATTTAACTACGGCCCGACGTTTCCACCTTCTTAAGTCCGTCATTGCGGCTGCTACAAAACTTTAAAATAAGTAATTATATCGCATTTTTAACCGTTAAAAGTGTTTTATTTAAAAGCTTGTGTATTCTTACTAAAAAATATAGTAAATATGAGAGGTATAATATTTATGACTAACTCATATAAAAAGGTAATAATTTGAAACAATATTTAAAGTATCTCTCGCAGTTGCATCTCTAGCTACCCCCAAACCCCATCCTCGGCGGGGGCCTTTCGCCCCGGGGACGTATAATTTGGTTCCCGTGTTAACGTCAAGCCGACACCCTAATGAATGCAACGAACACGAAAAACGTTTTTATTATCTTTTGCTAGCTCTTCGGCCTTGCGAGTTTCTCGGTGAGATGGGCCGACTCGACTCACTCGGACCGGCTGTGCCATTTGCAAAGCATTTGTACTAGTCAATTTAAAAGTTGTAGGTATATTTGCTTTTTCGGTTATGACTTATGTTGTTTGAAAAATTCTACACTTCTGTCTTCTTCTTAGGTCGTCGTAAAGAGAATCTTTCGTGCAATAACTCCACATTATTATTTATTACAGACTGCATAAAATTATGTTTTATATCTCGATATAAATATTTTAATATATTCTGTTTATTTTAGTATTCAGTGCGTTCGTTCGCATCTACGCTTCGTCAAGTACTTCCCCATAAACAGATATACACTAATATTGTTATTTCAAAGTGCTCTGTAGTTTAACCTCAATCAATATGCATTAAATTTTAATTAACAAAATATTTCCTCTCCTGTCTCGCTCGCTTTGTGTAATTAATAGCAGCTATGTTATACGCACACTCGATAGATACCAGTGTACCACATAGGGACACGAAAGGGACGTACTCTGTCGTTTGTCGATATCGATAAATGACAGCGATGGCAGCCGTGTCGGCCTAAAATACGGAAATTTTGTCAAGTGTTAAAGTTTCAAACTTCCTAAACCTTTTACTAAACTTAGGAAGAACTCAAATGGTATAAAGTGAGGGGCAAGTGTAATTAAAACAATATACACAAATTGTACCTGCGTTATGTACGAGCTTACGATTCAATTATATCTACGCTATATAAGTTACTAGGTCATCTTTGAGTACATATATCGATGAAATCGCTAAGTGATATATCGATATAAGTGCGGCAGCCCTAGCGACGGAGGCGTTTACGCGTGCGCGCTTATGTATCGAGCGGTACATGCCTTCAAGCGTACGATACATAGAATACGTTATATAGATTTATTGGAATCGGTACTCTCGTGCCTGTGTTTGTCAAAGGATCCCTACTATTACTATACTACTTCAAATACTTTTCAGGTATTTTATATCATTACAAACGTGTCTACCTTAAAGCTCGAATTAGACGCTGAATTAATTGTATTTAAAACGGCGTTGATCTAATAAAATCGATATAACTGTCGAAAACTTTATTATTTTTTACATGTTATTGCACATGAAGGCACTATATAATTTAAAAATCGAAAATAAATTGAAAAAAAATTCGACTCGGGCAGGACTTTAACCGGCATCGTCAGCGTTTCAGCAGCGTCAGAGCAACTGCACAACACTCGCCGCGCCGTTTCGGGCCCCCCCCCGGGCGAAAATTTTTTTCAATTTTTTTTCGATTTTTAAATTGGATATAACTCGTCACCTACTTATTAGTACACAATATTTAATTGATTTTTGAATTACATCTAAATCGATCAGTGCTGACACGCTGAAAGCAGACATAAGTACCTACTCACGCCGCTTACGGGCACATAGACCTTTAGTGGAAGGAGCCCTCGGCAGGCATTCGATCCTGAAACGGCAATATTCGTAAAAGAAAGCCGCCCGTTCGTTTACGGCGTCGTTACGTGTCGTTACGAACAGTCGAACGGCGTCGTTAAGTGATATTTATCGAGCGCGCGTCGTTAAATATAAACGTGTCGATTTTACTTTGATATTAACCTTTTACAGATAACATGTTGTTAGTTAGTAGTAAAAGTTTAACACAAAAGCCAACGATATTCAGACTCTGACAAAAGAACATAAAAATTGAACTGAAAATCATCTTTAAAGCTAGTTAGTTGGGTTTAAGGAAAAGTTATTTTTTCTATTCACCACAATGGAATCCATTGCGGCACATATAGGTAGATATATCAGTGTAAGTATACATGAGGTGGCAACTCGCTACCGTCTCTGTGTGTTTGCATTACTCGTTTGCACGTTAGCGCCTCAGAGCATAAACGGAAGCGATTTCTAAGACTTGTGCCTACCGTTCTACTTATTGTAACAACTTAGTAATTAGTTAGTAATTTGTAAAAAGTATATTTAATACAGTCGTAAAAAATAAAGAAGGCGGAACTCAAACGACAACAGGTGGCGCGGGCGTTCCGTTCTGCTCTGCAAATTGGGCTTCTAAGACCACGTTTATCTGTTTTGCTGTTGCAATGTTGAAGTAGTATGTTGTATGGATTGCTTTTATTTGTTGTCTAATAAAAATATTGGTGAAGGACGTAGAAATCGTAAAAAAACGTTCAAAAATTACAAATGTTAAATAATTACTCGTATAAATTAAAAAGTCACCTTAAATGTACATTTTTAAAGTAACACAATATAGTCATAAACGTAATAGCCTCTACAAGTTGTAAATCTATTATATGAGAGACCAATTTTATTTTAAAGATCAAAGTTTATATATCTTTTTTAAGTGCTCTTAACCATAATCGGTTATCAAATCCTTCTTGATAATTTAAATATCCGCTATATCTCTTGCCTTGTCCAGTCCTCCGCGGACACGACATACAAGGCTCGCCTATCGCTAACACACGCGTCACGCCTCGCGCAAAGCAAACACGACTGATTCACGCCACTACGCCGTGCTACGGTTCACCTCCATTTCAGCGTCTTTGCTCTGTTTGGCCTTCTTTCAAATAAAAATCAAATCTATATCTAAGTTGGCCTCTTTTACTTTTAACTGTTAAGTAGGTAGCCTATATAACATCTTACAATAGGACGAAATAATACAAATTTGAGAACGCGGGTAAAGTTTTACAATTCTATTGTTGACAAAATTGTTTCCTTAAATAGAAAGAAATTCGCGGCAGAATAATATGTCTATTCTTCAAAGTCATCTTATTATAAAAAGCTAATCACTTTTTTTTATAGTTTACGAGCTAATGTCAACTATTTTTGGGGTATTCAGGAAACTTAAGGTTATTTCAAATGTGTACTAAATGTGTATATGAACGAATCAGGGGGCCTTAAGCGAGATCCCAGTTCCCCTGGGCTGTGCATTATCCCGACTTATCCCAGAATCAATAAGAGCCGCGATGACTGACGATTCGCACATTCAAAGTCGTTTGTCAATCGGTCGCTTTCTTAGCCCACGGCTAGAGATGGTGTCTTGATTTGTTACACAGTGTTCGTTGATTGTTTGTGAAAGTTTATTAATTGTAAAGTAAAATAAGAAAGACAAACGCGATTTCCTTTAAATGTGCGCGTATCAAATGAATTCATCCGAATAAAAACACAACAAAGCGACGATTTCCTCGCTCACGTAAAACGCCCGAAATCCTATCGCAATAAATAATTTTCCCTGACAACCGCCAAATGAGTAGCGCCGTCCTCGTCGGCGCCTCCTCTCGCTCCCGCTTATTGCAATGCGGATTTGTCGTCTCGCTCGCACCCACTGTATGCAAGTTTAATATCTCGTTTCGGTGCAGGTGGATTAAAATTTTGATTCGGTTATTATGTCTAGATGTTCGCGAAAGGGATAGCTGTTGTGTGGCGCATTCTTCTTCTTTCTTTTTATTCTTCTTAGTCCTACAACGTGCAAAATACTCAATTCCAGCATTATTCTTACGCACCTGAACCTACCTACTATAATGTTTAATACACTGCGCCAGTTGTAGGTATATTATTAGCGTCTCGACCGAATAAGAAATCGACAACAAGATAGTAAATGTACCTATATATAGATAGATGTGTATCAGGGAAAAGCAGATTTCCTTACAAATGACTCGCGATTCGCAAGTGATTCTGAGGTTTAGCCGAGATTTAGAAGCGAGGGGTCGCGTGATTAATGCACCCCTTGTCCCGTCACCGAGTGGACCCGACGAATGCTACATCCACCGGCCCAAACTCTACTCAGCACTACATTCGCTCGACCAGCTAGATAAATGGCTATGAAATAATGACAAATAGCCAACGATATAATGCCTTTTCTTTCAGCTTTAAGAACTATTCGTAGGTACTAATCAGTACCTAAGCGTTTTAAAAATATTTGACCGAAGAATCCTCGTTACAGGTTTGGTTCCAAAACCGTCGGGCCAAATGGAAAAAGCGTAAGAAGAGCACGAACGTGTTCCGCTCCCCCCGGCGCTCTCCTCCCCTCGCACGGCCTTCCTCCCTTCGGGGCCGGGGACGTTTGCAGTCCCGGAGTCTTCGCCGACAGAGCCTGGTCTATGCCTGCAGGTATTTCGCTCAATTCTATGGATATAATAGTGGTCGAGAACAGGTTTTCGACCCACGAAGAGCTCGGTTCTGGTTCCGAGTTTCCTATACTGACTACCGATGGACATTCCATTCTCAAGATGTCATAGGTAGAAGGAAAAATAAAACAGTTTAGAGAATGTGGGCTTTCGCGGGCAAAAAGTGGATGAGAAAGTGTTTTATATATAGTGTAGGCAGTGCAACATGTACGGACTCCTGCGATACGAACATTTTCTGCTTCAGCTTTGTAAAGATCCTAACTTTCGAACACCCAGGTATGGACATTACAGAGTGTACATTTTAGCATTTCTCGCCTCCAGGTCTCGGCCAGCTGTCGCAGGGCGGCGTGTCCATGGGCGGATTCGGTTCTGGCGGTCTACCGCAGTTGGCAGCGGATCTCAACCCTTCTCTGCCGATCAACTCGGTGTCTTCTCAGCCCTATCAGTCGCACTATCCGTTGAACTCCCTCGGTACGTTTTGACTGCTTTCTTGCCTTAGGGAATTGGCACTGGCATTAGTGATAAACGCGTTGTAATCGAGTTCAAATAATGACGTCCGAGCGATTCCAGGCGACACAATGATGTCCTACTGCAACAACATCAACCAGCAGAGCGCTCTGGAAGGCTCCCCCACCCCCCCGCAGCCGCACTGCGCGGCCAGCGCCTCCCCGGCGGCCTCAGGTGAGACACAAAGAACAACAATACAACATGATAACAAACCTACATCGGCGGTTAATTGCTTCGTCGAAAATACGATCTGAAGTTCTACTTCCAGTGTATCTACACTTAAACCTCTATAAGACAGTTATTAGTTACGAAATTCTCACTTCTCACTTCTCTGAAATGCTTCCATTTGATCAGTTTGTCTTGAAGGTAACGGCGGAGAACAGCAAGAAGAGGAGATGTGGCGTGGCCACAGCATAGCGGCGTTGCGCAGGCGCGCCTCGGAACTCTCCGCCGCCATCCCCCCTTATCTGCAGCTCAACTACGACGCACATAGTCCCGTTTACTAGAACGCTTCCCCCAAAACGAGAAGCGAACGGAATATTCTCTCTTACTGTGGTTTTATTCAATCAAAAAATGAGCTCATAACTTTGAAGTGACTCAAATTGGGACCCGTGTTCGCCTATTTCATTTTGTAGTAGTAAAGGCAAGTCGATTTTCCGCAAAGAAAGGTATTAGTCATATAAATTACTGACAGTTGAGATTTCTTAAGGTATCTATATTTGTCTTCTAGAATAAACATGAGAACGTTCCTTTCCTAATCTACATGTAAATAACACAATGTGACGCTGGCGCGAGTCGGTTTCGAGTTTAAAACGTGAAAAAATGAATTAGAGACTGACTTAACTTGAATAACAGCAATTTTGGTTCTTCCGTGTGAGGAAGACTCTGGTAGTGATCGTTGCCGATGATGAAATTGTCGAGACTCAGTGCTAAATGTTTGCGAGGAAATTCGGCGAAAGCTCGTCTTTCGCGCGCGATAGAGTAGTTAATAATAAAATGTGAGCTGTAATAATACATGTATACGCGTTCGTACAATAATAACATAGTGATAGATATGTTAAGATATTTATTAAGCTAATCGGGCGGCTGTCGTCGCCTCTAGGTGGACTCCATACATGTCCGATGGACAGAAATTAAGAAAATTTATTTATCGGTGAATAAAATCTACGCGTCAAGGTGTAGACAAACATGTGACAGAAATTAGTGTTATTCACTCTAGTTGTTTCTGGAATTTAGAGTCGACGTCATTTCGGGGTTTTAATAGTTATAATAAACTGAAATGTATAAGAAATAATTGTATACGAAGGGTTAGATTATTTATCAACGGCTCGCGTAAGAAATATCTAATACTTTATTAAAATCATATGTTTTTTTTAAAAAAAAAAAAAATAAAATAAAAAAAAAAAATTTTTTTTTTAATTAAATTTTTTTTTTTTTTTTTTTTTTGAAGGTTTTTTTTTTGGGGGGGGGGGGGGGGGGGGGGCCCCCCCCCGCCCCCGGCGGCGGCAACCCCCCCCCGGAGCCGCGGGGCGGAGGTAAAAAACATTTTTTAAAAATTTTTTTTAATATAAAATCTTTTAAAATTTTTATAATTTTTTTTTTAAAAAAAAAATCATATGATTCTAACAACGTTGAGGATTAATTTTTCTTCCTCTTAGTAAATATTTTTGTAAATACAGTGCCCCATAAGAATCACATTGCCGACAAGAAGGCAACAGTTAAAAGCTCTCGTGATTAAGAACGAAATAAGAACATGTATGGAGTTAAGTAGTTGTAATAAAACATTCCAATGTAGCGTTATTGTAATAGATTAATTGAAGATATTTGTGAAAAATCACATTTTATAGTTCATCAATAAATGTTCATAAAACTCATTAGACTAGTGTTATTTTTATTTCCCGTAGAGAATAACGATGTATATTGTAAGATAAATGAAATTAAAAGAAATTGTGTCGAAAGTGCTCAAATTATTATTAACTCCATTCTTATATACTTCCCTTGTATAAAATGTTAACCTCACCTATTCAGTACATAATTAATGTGTCGTGCTCAAAAACGACATTATTAAAAATTAAAAATGCTACCTTTTATAGTTTTAAATGGAATAGATAAAGCCTAAAAACCTAAAAACGCTTATTATATACAAACTGAAAGAATATCATATTTACAGTAATACGACATGGTGTAATATAACTATGATACAGATAACGCCATCTGTTGAACTCCTTAATTGTCAACAATTGAGGACGTGCAGAAATGGTTAATTGTAATTTGTACATCGTATAAACATATCTTAAAGAAGAAAGAGTAAAAATAATTTATGTTACTTTATAGAAGAAGATCAAGTTTTTTATAGTTTTTAAAATTTAGAATAATTTTAAGTCTTTAAACATCGCTTCAACTGCTCAAATAAAACTTCATAAAGGGCTTTGCAGAGACATCTATCGTCACTATTCTGTAACACATCGTGGTCGTTAGTCTTAGCATTTACCAATAGATGGCAGCGAAGACCAATAGAGTGCTTATTGACAAAACAAGACACCGGTTATGTATTTCACTAACAAATTATTCTGATTAGTTGTGTCGATAATTTAACGGAAGACGGCACAATGTCTATAAAATCTCAAAAATCATTAAACGAAGAATGCACGGAGATATTTGAACGAAGTTATTCCATTAAAAGTGCTTCGGAAGAGAATCCGTCCAGGTTAGTATGAATGTTGGTTTTAATTATGCTTTTAATACATAGTTTAATATTAAGTTGTCGTGTATTTTTAATTCAGTGACGACGAAGAAGAGTACGTGTCAAAAGAATTGTTGAAGAAGTTGACTCCTTCTGTCCTCAGTAAGCTGAGAAAGTGTTTTAAAAGAGCGAGAGAGAAGAAAGCCAGAGACCTCGATAAGTATGTTGCTATGTCAGTATAGCGCCATCTAGCCACAAAAATAATCAACTCATACTTATAGAAATTCGGTTTCATTCTTAGGAAGGTGGAAAAGGTAATGCGTGCAGCGGCCGCAGAGGAAGGAATCGAGTTTGTCGAAAGCGTACCTTTGGACACGGAGCATCTCTACTTGAATGAAAATGGATTTGTATCGGCGTTGGATAATATTTTAGGTAAAGAGAATTATTTAAATAAAACACTTTAACGGTTTAAAACGCGATATATTAGTTAAACTTATTTGAAAATGATTTTTAACTTCGGCCCGACGTTTCGGATGCTTTGCAGCAGTCGTGGTCACGGCTGCTGCAAAGTTTAACTAATATTAGTTAAACTTTGCGTTTTATCGCGTTTTAAACCGTTAGTGTTTTATTTAAATGTGTACTACTCGCGTAAACTATAGACAGTATTTAAAGAGAATTATCAAACTGTTTTGAAGTAATATTAGGCTCGGCTTTTGTAAAGACAGACAAGTATTTAGTTAGTTTATTGTAATATTTAAAGTTTTGATTAAGGAACTAAAGATAGAGAAGGAACAAGTTTTACTAGTTTCTGTGTGCATAAGACATTGTTTGATTTACCCATATATTTTCATGCACGTTTTTTATTTATTAGGAAACCCGAAGTACAAGCCCCACGCTCAGACTTTATATCGTGCGATCGATCGGTTTCAGACCGGTCGCGTGTCGTGGTCGCAACTGGTCGCGCGACTAGTCGCAAGTGGTGCCAGAACTACGGCTTCAAGACTCGACACATGGTCGCCAGTTAAAGAGGCTGGTGTTGTCAGATTGAAGCATTGCAATGTAAGTTTTTGAACGGGAATTCTTCACAAAGAAATCTCAGATAGCATGCGTCTATAGAACTATATAGAGCATGCAATTCAATAGTTTAACTACTTCTTAATATATATATATATTTATATTTTAATTGCAGAGAGAGACTATAGTTACGCTTATTAGTATCGAAGACGAGAACTCGTTCTGCTACGTCGCGGTGTCGAAGGGAGGGAGAATAGGAATATACACGGGAGACTTGAAACTCCTCAAGTCATATGAGGCGAGTACAAAAATATTGAATTGGGTGGTTTAACTATTCGGCTGTCTTAATTGATCTCGAAGGTTCGCTACAGCGAGTAGATAGCATCATGAGGAATTTAGTAATAATAGGTACAGCAAACACTGTCTTGTACTGTGACTTAAAGTAAAAGTGAATTGCCATTCCCGTATTAACGCACTCCTGTTCGGCTACACTTGAAACGCACATGTTTACTCGACTCTAACCATCTTGATTTTATGGTAATCGGAAATTCGTTACTTTACAGTAGTAGCATACACTTAAATAATATATTTTTAACGGTTTAAAACGCGGCTTATATATAAACTACGGCCCGTTTCGGATGCTTTGTAGCAGCCGTGGTCAAAATTAAAATCAATTGCAAAGTTAAGTTAATATATTTCGCGATCTTTTAATGATTTTATTTCTGAAAATTATTGAATAAGTTGTTAGTTGTTACTTTCAGATTGATCGATGCTTTCAGGTATTCTATCACAGATCGGGAGTTAGAAGCAGAGTCCGCAATTGCTGGATCACGGATGCGGCTCACATGAGAGTAAGTTCTATTTCTTGCAAATAACTCATATTCTTGTAGTCCTTAATGTATTTGTTTTTTCTTTCCAGGATGTGTCTTGCCTCGTTCTGTCGGCGTCTGATCGCAGCCTCACTATATACGATGTGTCTACCTTGTCTCACACGCCCTTGTATTGCGTAACCGGGTTACCTAATATACCGACGGTGAGTGTTGTGGCTGAAAAAGTCGGTAGGCTGGTCGAAAAAGTCCTCTCTGTTATAAAAATCATGACGGGTACGGCTCACATAATGTGTATACTGTGTGCGCATTATTGCAGTGCCTCGCTTACTGCCCCACGACGGAGGCTGGTTATTCCGAGCTGCTGGTGGGCACGGAACGAGGAGAGCTCATCCGTTTGCGTTTCTTGCAGCCTCGGGTCTCGCTCTTGCACGTCAAAGTGCCAGATACTATCAATTACTACTTTTGGATGGTGAGATGGTTCTATGCGAATTTTTATTTCAATAACAATGGGCAGGCGATAATACTGATCATGTGCTGAATAAAAAGTGTCATCTATCCCCATTTTCAGGAGCTCTCTTGTCCACCTCACAGCACCTACTGCTCGATCCACACTTGCCGCTCAGCGCACGCGCGTTCTGTCCGGCGCGCCACGTACGTTAGAGAAGACATATTGCTATCCTGCTCTCACGACACTGTTGTCAGTCTGCGTATGAAGTATCTCACCGGAAAATTGGATGACTATGAAATCACTGTTCATAGGGTAATCGTTTTGATCGGCTTTATTTTATTGTGCGATGACGAGACAAAGGGGAATAGATATCCGTGATACGAAATACCACTTCATTTGGAACCATGATATTTATCTTCAAACTGCTTTTATGGCCTCAATCGTTCTTAATCTAGGTCTGGAGTCTGTTCGTTTTACAGACAGTTGTTCTTTAAGTCTATGGGGTATGCTTTCAGGGCGTGTCGTGTTTCGACAGCGTGACCGCCCTCCGACTCACGGTGACTGGCAGCAAGGACGGTCTGGTGCGAATCTGGACTCACGCACAGCGCACTCCTATAGCTAAGTTGAAGCCGAACTGCGCCCCCGTTCCCGTCGTCGATGTCAAGATTGTAGAAACTGAGAATGTCGTTCTGGGATATTACAATAACTGCGTACGTGTTGGCAGCTTAAGAACAAGTCGTAAAAGTTTATTCCTACAGCTGCCTTTGAAAGCAGCTATGGCGCGTTTTAGGGCATTATATTTTTATAGCTGTTTTGATAATATCAATTTTTAATTTTTATTCTCTTCTCTGTATTATGAGGAGAACAGTTCTCGAATAACTGTATTCGAGAACTGTTCTCTCTGTACCTACTTTTACAATAAAAGTATATGAAGTTCGTAAGATAAAAATGAGGATTTAAACAAAAAATTGTTCATAATGAGCTACGTCACGTTTCAGATGATACACATCTGGGATTTATATGAAGAATGTCTTCTTCAGTCTGTTAAGTTAAAATTCCCGTTCCTTGGTGTTCTCGGGAAGCGAATCGAGTTTGGGACCACAAGTATTCATTTAGGTAGACCGCTTACTTCTTCTTCTTGCACTTCGTTTCCATTCTTCGTGTTCAAAATTAAAAATGTTTATGTATGTCAAATGTTCAAAATGTCCCTTCGACACTATTTTATATTACAAACTTGAAGGACAGTTTTCAACGATTAGACACCGTAAAAAATTGCCCTTATTATGAGTTAATTATAGGTCCACCTCGAAGAAAGAGTGGAATTAATGCCGCAGACGAAACTGGGCGTTCGCGTCGCGGATCTAGCGTATTCGAGGGTTCCACTGGTGGGCTCATGCTACAAATGGAATCCAATATGGATGGAGAGCAAGTGGACAGGTAAAAAACGTAATACCACGTAATAGCGACACCGTTAGACATGCTTAAGGCGAACATTATAAGAAAGTAACTTAGAATATTTGTAATGTTAAATGCGTTAATCGAATAAAGACAGACAGTTAGATAACAATATTATATGTCCAGTGCCCCTCTAGATAGAAGCGAGGTCTTGGTGACTTGCAACGACAGCGTCTACATCCTGAGTTTTCGAGACATAGATGCCAGCGTGGTCGGCCCAGCGTGTCGGGCGGTGGAGGGGAGAAGACCGTCTGTGTGGGACCTAAATCTTTCGGGTGCTTTTTTGTTTTGATTTGAGAGGTGAGCTACCGGACACGGGATTGTCTTTTCCTAAGATGTATTTATGCTCCAGGTGGCAGATCTCCGTCGAAACAAGTGACACCCCGTACCACCCTGGCAGTGGATTCGGACATACACCTTCTGCAACCGACTATACACTCCACTTTTGACTTGGATCAACTCATCGCACACGCAGGTAACAACCTTTTTATTTTTTCCAATTATGCTTGCCTTATTGTTATTTTACTCTTAAGTCACGTTGTACATCGTTGCTAAAATTAATAAACAGGCGCTCTAATTCTCTACTCATCTACTCGTACTAGACTCTTCTTCTTACTTATTCTAAACGTATACAGTTTTGGCGTCCCTAATGGTTTTGAATTATACTTTTTACTAACACTTTAACTTTAGGACATGGTCTAAACATTTAGAGTATTGTTATAAATCGCTCGTGCTCCCGCAATCGTCAGATAAATTTGTTTGTAAGAGGTTTTCTCTCCGTAAGTCTATCTTCGTAATGCAAGGAATATTATAATGAAAGCAAATTCAAATTGATAGTCGTCGTCGTTACTTTTGTTTTAAAGGCCTCGAAAACATACTGGAGAAAGATTTCGTCCTGACGCGCGGCTTCAAACACGACCTCAACAAAAAGATGTTTGAAATGCAATCCAAAGAAAACAAAGTAAGTAAAATACAGTAGAATAGATTAGACACAAAACGCTCAAACACCTAACCTGCGGGGGCACTAGTTTTGCACTGCACGCATTATAACCCTGAAGCAGAATATTCCAATACTGAGAAAGTGAACTTATGGACGATGATTATTATTTGGTAATCCATTTAATAATCTGTATTGTTATTTTTAGCCAATTACGAAGTCAATGTCATGAAAACGATCGAAAGTGAAAATTATTTAGTTTAATTAATTAATTTACGTAAATTTCAGCGTAAATCATCAGTGTGCATTGGAGCGCCTTATCTCAGTCTTCCGCGGTACACCTTGGACCCGTTGCCCGTCTTCCATCATCTTCACGAGAGATACGAACGCGTCAAGCGGTGGGTACGATTTAACTCATGCCGTAATCGGTCCAGCCGAGTCAGAGTGATCGATAAGCTCACTTATCAATTTCTTTTCAGATATTATCCTGGACCAAGCGTAAACGTCACCCCAACGGGGAGTCGAACCACGACTCCGCGAAATAAGAGTTATCACAAGACAATAATGTCCTAATTTAAGACATAGTTATGCTAAATTTATAGTACGATGCCTTTTATTACTATTCTCTAAACTGAATGTAAAACCAACAAGTTTTTTGTTTTATCTTAACGAATCTGGGATGCAACACATCTTAGCTGTTTCATTTCCTACGTGTGAGCTCATCAGAAATAAGCAAATATTGTATTCAACCTTTTGCCATACATTCAAAACGAGGTTCCTCGTCTTATCGCGATCATTGTGAATAATTGGCATTATCAACGTACAAAATGTCAACTCATTAGTTCATCTATAAAATGTGTTTTGCGCACGTTCAATCATAATTCTGTATTTTGAGTCGACAATCTTTAGTTTAGATGAAGCGCTAAAGGCCAAGCCTCAGTTGAAACTTGTTTGTGTCGTTCGGAACACCCCGTATACCATAATTGAAAAGCGAAAAACATTACAGTATGTCATTCCAGTGATAACGAAAGTTACAAGGCATTAGGGCTATCATTTAATTAAAAAGTAAATGTCTGTAAAAGTAATTGCGTCGATTAATATAAAGACAGTACACACACATTACAAATAAACAATATAAGGTAACAATTTTTTAAGAAAACTAGTAGTGCGATGTTTTTTATTTTTTTTGCTATTTAAACTGAATTTGAGTTATTGTCTCCAAATGGTAGCGCTCAGAATAAATTCCTTTGATAAGAGAACTTGCATTTTATCGTCGTATCGCGTTAGATAATTACCTATAATTTAGCTAAAGATAAAGTTGACTTTTTCCATGTTTTCAATCGTTATCCACGAATTTCATTAATTCACGTCTCGACCCGGTGAATAAAAGGCGTTCTGTCGAGTGTTCATTTTTAACTGCAAAAAGTAATTTACTCGTTACCTGTTTTTTTGTCATTGTGTATGGCGAATACTCCACTTAACTTTGCACTAGAGGATATGAACTTTGCGAAATTGTTTTGCGAATTGTCGTTATAACAATAACAAATATTAATCGCGTTTGGACAATCAGTATTATTCGTATTGTTGAAAGAACGACAAACGAAATCGCTCGCTCACGCATAACAAAGTTTACTTATAGAAATATAAACATCGAATTCTTTATACTTAAAAAATGATCGTAACGACTTTTAAAAGCAACAGCGTGATATTAAAAAAAATTTTGGACATTCGACCATTATATTCGGCAGTGAGGCAAAATTCGCAAAATGTGGAAGATATTTTGTGTCTCCGCGGGGAGAAGGAGAGTTACAACTTTAAAGAGAAGTATAGAGTTTTGGACGAGAAGGATTACTTCAGGTTCTTCAGTAAGAGGTCTATGAAACGGGAACCGGCTCTGACTAGGTCGTTGAGTAAGTGTTTTTTTACTTATTGAAGGATTAAAATGACGGTAGCAAATTTTTATTAAAACATATGGATCCCATACATTGGTATTAATAGTCGAATCGATTTGACAATGTTTAAATAACCTCATAATCGATAAATATTTCACTCGACGGAGGCGCGATAGACACACCTCCATGTTCGCGAATCTTGTAGTTTTCCAGCGTTACTCTATTTGTTTTTTCTTGCGTTAAAAGTTTTAATAAACATTTTGAAATTCTACTTTCACTGAGCCAATGGACAACACTAAAGCTGTTACAGCCAAAGGCCTTTCTAATGGACACGTCATCGAACTGTTTGTCCTTTTATCGAAGATTAACTTAGTTATCTTAGTTAAAAACGACGTCACGACAGGTGAATTTGCGATTAATAATCGTCAAGGTCGATCGCAGAAAATGTGGAAAAGCGATTTTTCACGGCTTAATGGGTAAGTAACGCATATTTTATCGACTCTGTTCGCTGTAAAAATAATGACTTAGTTTTATTAATACGCCAATAGGTAAATGTTTGAACAACATTATGATTAAAACAATGACACGGGCGAGACTCGGTAATATGATCCTGTCAATTTTGCAATTCCTGCAAACCTGCGAAATTGACACGATCAGATCATATATTTGCCACGATTCATGCAAATAATGTGAGGGTAGTCTTAAGGAGTTCCAATTAGGTTCAGTAAAGTTAAGATAAAAGGCTCAATGTCGTTGACGCGAATCGGTTCGCCAAAGTTCCGAATTTCCAGTAAACTTATCGTTATATAAGAGGCAGATATCTGGGTGACCTCATCGTTATTATACATACGCACATCTCGTTTTGTTTTCCTCAAAGTTCAGACCGAGCGAACGATAAGATTAACTTATCTCGGGATGAATAATGTTTGCTAAAATAACATTTCAAATTAAAATAAAACGTAAAGCACATTAAAGATCGAATAACCGTAAAATTATATATAAAGGCGACACTCTTCGAAAGGCGAAGCTCTTCTTCAATTGCCTTGTTTAGGTTTTAACGCAGGGGCTTTTAATTTTAATAATAAAGATTTTAGTGGTCAACCAAATGTTAAAAGAAAATACATTTTCAGCCTCCATGGTGTACAAAATCGGAAAGCAAATGATATCGCTGGCCGAAGGCATGCCCAACGAGGGGACCTTCCCCTTCAACCACCTGGAGATGAACCTGAAGAGCGGGAGTAAGCTGGTTCTCGAAGAGCAGGAATTGGCTAAGGCTTTACAATACCTGCCCTCGCAGGGGTAAACCGCTCGATTACTATTGATTCAACTAGACCGACACCTATTTCAAAGTCGGATAACTACACATGACCGCGTATTGTTGACAGACTGCCAGATCTGCTGAAACTCTTGCGTGAGTTGCAGCAGGACCTGCACTGCCCTCCGTCCCTGGACCGTGACGTCATCGTGACCAACGGCGCCCAGCACGGCATCTACCAGTGCTTTGATATGTTCGTTGACCCCGGAGACCCCGTCATCACCACCGAGTATACGTTCACGGGAGCCAACAGCGCGGTGAGAGATTGAACGTCCTTCGAAAAAAGCTTTACGTTATTAACGGGTATAGGCCCCTTAACCGAGGGTAACCCTTACTTATTTTTCAATCGATTAGAGGAACTCGCAGACCTCGTCTTACGCCCTAAACTACGATATATATGCGCAATACGACCAAATACAGAACAACTAAAATGATATCAAAGGAAACAATTAGTAAGATTGAGTCAAACATAAGATCTTAAACATGTATGTACCTACTGATACTGTGATGAATTTTCTACGATAGAATTCGGTTTTAGCTCCGTCCCTATGATCCTGAACTGCTGGCGATTCCTGAAGACGATTTCGGGCTCATACCGGAAACCCTGGAAGCAGTGCTCGAAGAGCGATCATCCCGAGGTCTAAAGATGCCGCGGGTTATGTACCTAATCCCAACCGGGAACAACCCCACGGGAACCATCCTCCCCGCCTGGAGGAGAAAGCGGATCTATGAGTTGGCTTGCAAATATGACTTCCTTATCATCGAAGATGATCCGTATGCATTTCTGTATTATTCCCAGGTAAATTCCCAGAAAGAAAAAAAAAACAAAGCAAATCTAACTTTGAATATAAAAGCTTTAAAGTGCACTGTAAATACAACAACCTTTCAAGTAAAATGTAGACCCGATCATGCAAATCCAAGATCCAGTCTTTGATAGCAGATCAGCATTCCTTCATAAAATAGTACACACACTTGGCTAGCTCTGTTTCAATGTTACGATAGTTTCCACTAATAACGATAACATTCGCTCCACAAAACCGCATCTAACCAAACGAAATCTCGAATAATTGGCCGGAATATGATAAGTTTGGCACGACGAGATAAAACCATCGCTGCACACGCTGTCAAACTAATGATGAATGTAAAATTGCTGATAAAATACTGATATAGTTTCAAATTGCAATAATTTATTGCCATTGAGAGACGGATAGAGTAAGAAAGGAATCTCCACGCGAAGAACTGTTTTGAAGTTCATTCTAAGTGAAGTTTTTTTACAAAAGAGTGTAAACTGTACCAAAGTAAATTCCCGCTCCCTCTCGTAGTGATAGCGAACAGTTTTATTTACAGGCACACTAGTCTACAACAAACAATAGATACTACAGTAATCTATAGTTTGCATGAGATATGAACCCAGGACCTGTCGCGCTCAACACACTGTATGGCGACACTATTTAACCATTTAACTACAGAGGCGGTCTTCAGTTTTAATATTTAATATGGGATAAAAAAAACTCATCGTTTCACAACAAGGACTATGTGCCTCATTTTGTAAAAAGTAAATCATCAGATGCTTTGGATTGTCTCATACAAAATAATAAATATTCAATAAACGTTATTTTAGGAGAAAGTACCATCTTTTCTCTCCATGGACCAATGCGGGCGCGTGATTCGCCTGGACTCCGTGTCCAAAGTCATCTGTGCTGGACTGAGAGGGGCCTGGATGACAGCGCCCAGCTCCATCATAGAGCGAGCTGAGCTGCACTCCCAGTCGGAATTGCTCCATTCTTGCACCCTCTCACAGGTGGGTCCTTTGACTAGGACATTACGTGTTTGTTCGTCTGTCATCAAATCTCGCGAACTTTGATACTCAGGGAAGAAAAACTATTACGGATGATGTCTTAATCCTGTTCTGCTAAAGCTACATACAGGTACTTAAAGGGTGTTCAATCTACAAACGTATTGTTTAGTTCTATATCCTGGTTAGTCTTTCTCGCACTTGGCCGGTTTTCATTTTTTTAATAATGCAGTTATCACCGCGTCTCGTTCATTAAGTAATCGCCCGAATAGTGCTCTTATCAATGACCTTGGTTACTGCGGTTCAGACGAGATAGCGTCACGGCCACAATTTAAAATATGTATTATCGTTCATTGTTCAATTCGGTAATGACATTGTACGGAATTGAAGGATTAACATCCGCCTAGCAGGAAATCAACATAATATGTAATAAGATATTAAAAGTAAAAAATTCAGTGCGTTAAAATGATAGTGCAAATAGCTTATGTAAAGATATTGTAACCCGTGTTTGCAGGTGATATTACATCGTCTCATCTCTCAAAGGAGTGATCTCGCAGCGCACATCCACTCGGCGCGATCTTTCTACGAACGACGTTGCACTGCGTTGGGTACTGCTCTGCGCAGTTTATCTCACTTGGCCCATTGGGTTGAACCGAAGGCCGGTTTGTTCTATTGGCTGAGGCTTCAAGGCATCAGCGACGTACATAATATGGTAAGATGCCGACGTCATTTACATATTATGTACTTATTCGTAGATTAAAGATGAGAAATACAGGCATAAGTAGGAACAAGTTGAAACAATCACTGCCTTAACTCGAATAACCAACGAGACTATATTGTTTTAGTGGTAGAGGAGGGTAGATAAGCACTTGGTGATAGGTGATATACCCCAGCTTCAGCATCTAAAGAAGGTGCGCTGGCGATCTATTTCGGGTTTGGACATTCGGAAATCCACAAATTGAAACCGAACGCGATTAATCTTTGCGGCTTTTTCATCTGAGGACGGAGGGGTGATTTGATATCCAGATTTCGAGACGAAGTCCAACATGTTACCTAAAAAATATAATTTGAAAAATGATAAACATATCGAACCCACACCCGTTAATTATTAGCATACATTGACTATGCTAACATTAGGCCAACGAGCGCGTCTAAAGGTAAATAACATGTAATAATATACATATTATGTGATATATTTCAGACATTCCGCACCGCTCTCGAACACGGCCTAATGCTCTGCCCGGGGCAAGCCTTCCAATACGAGCACAGCGCCCCCTCGCAGCATCTCCGGCTGACATTCACAAGAATCAAACTAGACGACATCGAAACGGCGGTGCGCCGTCTAGCGGAGGTCATTCAAATTGAACAGAAACTGCAAGAGAGGGAACCGCAGAGGTTGGCTACCGAACGATAGGTGGCGCTGTGACCAACACGATTTATTTACATAGTGTACGCTATTAACAATAGTAATTTAAGGTTTTTGTATCGTCTGTTTTTGAACAACTTTGCGTAACCTTAATGTTCACTAAATTAAAAATCTCATATACCTAACATTCAACGAGATGTTGCTATTCGGTACAAGATGGCAGTAAATGTATTTTAAAAATGATACTGTGCATCAAAAGATAACATTTGAAAGAACAAAACGAAACAATTTTTATATTAGCATTATTTAGAACGAAAATAAAAACTTTAGTTAACGCTAGACATAGATTCGACGAAATCGCCTATTATAATAAAATAATACATCATTCATAATAATATTATAACGTTATTGACATGTTTAAAATGTTAAGAATTATGTTTTAAGTTTATAAATAATGTATTAAGGAAATGACTCGCTTTCGTTGACCTTAATGCGCTCTGTCGGTTAAATACTTTTTTTTACACTGGCGACGTATCATCTAAATAGTCATATTAAAATAAATATATTAAATTAGATGTATTAAAAGTCTAGTGCTTTTGACAAACCCTAACTATTTACAATTAAATTACATGTTGTACAAAAAATGTTTTTAGAAAAATCCGTTGAGATTGTGACACGGTACGGTAGCTCTATGGAAGAGCCAGGAATAAATATTTCAGCGAAGCCAAAACGGTTAACAGTAATAATTTAAAGGAGTGCTAAAACTTTCAGCTCTTGTAATGCCTTAAGAATACTGATTTCGTTAGCTACATAGACTGAGAAGTAAAATGGAATAAGAGATATAAACAAGTCTGTTCTCAGTCTGTACATCCTCAATAAGCGCCTAGTTAGCGCCTGCCTTCCAATCCGTTACCCGCTGGCCACAGAGCAATGCGCGCACAGAGACTTTGTACGGAAGTCATTATACATACTTTAATTTGAAAGTAATAGCAACTGAAACTAATAATAATTAAGGAAGAAAAGTGTATCCTTATAAGATCCATTTTAATTCTACGAACAATGTTTACAATTTTACAAAAAATTCTAATGACAGAACCCAGGCTACTTTGGACGGGCGTTTCTAGTCCCCTTTTAATTCACTTGTAGGTCATAATATACCCAATATTCTTCATACCGAAACATGCTATCGTTATAGTATATCGTATTAGTAGTAGGCATAATATTTATTCGATTACGGACTAATAGTAGAAGGGTAAGTGTTAAATGCAGCGAATCGACTCTATAGTTTCACTGCCCTGCGCATACTTTCTCATTATTAGCGCAAAGAGTTGTTTTATTCCGTCGTCGCTCAGTTAGCTCACAATTTCCCATTTACCTCCACTCGTACACTCTCAGCCGACGCAAAATCATCCCTCATCCCCTCAATTAGGGCTCAAAATCTCTAAACGAAGCGTCTCTCCTAAATCAGCATACTTCAAGTGAATGCTGCTTAAGAAAGTTAAGCTTTATTAAGGAGCGAATTAAAGCCCGTTTTCGTGTGAACGTAATTTTTAAGTAATCGACGAGATAAAGGAAATAAGCGATTTAATTGGCGAACGATTATTCGTTAGATGAAAGATTCACCTTTCAGAATTCCTTGTTGATTTTGTTAATCCATTGATCATGAAGTAAACAAATGAGCTAGTTGATTGAATTTGCATTTTGTAGTAATATGACATTTTATGGATTATGTTGAAATGACCAAATCATAAGTGAAGGTAGACAGTACGCGTATAAATCATTGTTATGACTAGCCTGTTTATTATGCTTCGTTATTGTGTTTTATTATATAATAAATCATTAAGATAATGACTGTATTATTCCTCAAATTTGTCATAAAATGCTAAAAGCGAAAATTCCTCGAACGAAGAGACGTATCTTTAACAACGTAAGCAGCTTTACGTTTTTTTTCTCGATTCTCAAGAGTAAAATACTCGACACCTCTCGTGTAGCACAAAAACTGCAGAGATTACAACTTATAAGCCGCCGACACATGTTTTCAAACAAACTAATCCACACCACAATAACGATTTGCGCAATACTCTCAAAAGAAACGCTTTTTTTGACAGCTGTAACACAAAGGAAGGATAATTAGAACGCGTTAAAGTACCGACGGATGCTTCAACAGACGATGTTCTTCGCTCGTTGCCAATGTATTCGCTTTGGAATCGGGAATGGTCCAGGTGTCATAATTAGGTACGTTAGCATTCAATATGACAGTAATATTAGTATTTAAAAAACTACGAAATTCAACCAAGATGATTTAGTACTCTAATAACAGTACAGTTTATAAATTAATCTTGAGATATAACTCAACATAGTGTTTGCTTTTGAAATTAAAATTGTACTTTAAAAACAGATTAACAGCCTTGTCCTGTTATGCAAAAGCGCGAGTAATGAGAGAGATGAAATGTAGAGTTCTCAGCCTGGCTTCGGCGATGGGAAATGGAAAACTTAACACGGTTAACGACTGAACCCATTGTGCTCGGGGTGGTCGCAATTCAGGAGCGGCTCCAGGTCTTCAATATTCTGTTATGGAGTAATACGTAGCACATTAAGAGAAACCTTTTTAACGCATCTTCAATTAACTTCAAGGATTGATTGATTAGTCAGTCGTCCTACATACTTACTACATTTTATGACATAGGAATAATACTTGTGAAACCGCATTTTATTTCGATTTAAGGGAGTTTGCCGTATTGACTGATAATCGCTGTACTCCTATGGCTTGTTTTAAATAAATGAATCTAAGCATAGTGCATTTTCTTTATAACTTCCTTCGTGCATCTCGTCTGCTTGTCATTAGTTATTACCGTTCACACAAATCGTTGTGTTCTTAATTCCCGGATATAATAACGGCATGTAGTATGTAATAAGTAATGTTTTATGATATAAAATTATTTTACATTAAAAAGAATGCCTCAAGGAACTCCATTCTCATTTACGAAATCATTTTTGTTAATATCTGAGTGCTACGCTACAGCTACGGCGCTACGAAATCTCGTAGCCTGCTACTAAAATTTGAAGAGATATTGATTTTGCTATCAGTGTATTATTATGAATAAATTAGATGTTTTAAATAAAACTCTCTTTTAATGATATCTTTAACTTATTACAGAATAAAGCCATACTACGTATATATCTTCTTTATACAATGCTGTCTTGTAAATTATATGATTACTAAGATAAATGGGATGGGAGTAACGAAATAAATAAAAAATATAATTCAATAAATATATTACGCTCACAATTCGCGGTGCATGCGTAATCGCTAAATCCTCGAAAACGGCCTCACACTGTTCCATTATGTGCAATAAAAGATTAGGACGCTAATGATCTCTAATGACCACAACACTTCATCGTTTGAATTGCGTTCAAACAATAATGATCATTGTTCAAGCCTTAAATAAAAACGATATTACAGTGAAGTGTTTTCAACTTAAGTAGGTTTTCAATAACTCTATTAGCTTGAAGCACATCGAATCGATTCGCAATTTTGAGCTGTATTGCCACGAATTTAGAACTACTATTGACAGTTGTCATTTTAGAAATGTGCTGGATGTTTTTGAATGCAGTATTTAAGCGGCATTTCACGGTTTGATGCGTGCAAAGAATATGAGACGAATTTGCTTACAGGATGTTTTTGCCGTGACTTTTATAAATGATATAATACTCTTCAATATCATTAAAGTCGTAAAATGACTTCGAATATTATAATTAAAATGAAGGAATATTCCAAACTAGAATATGTAAAACGAATCTTCTATTTTTTTTAATAATATTAGTGACTTTTGCAGTGGTCATTTCTTATCTTTTAGTTACTTCATTGTTAATTACAATTCAAGCTTTACTAATTATGGGAGTTTATCTGAGTCCACAATCAACATAGTTATGTAGATTTAATTAATCCCGAACAGTTCGCGAGACTCCGACCTAAACTAACACCTGTTCTAAACTTTAATTAAATCCAAATTAATTAAGTAATTCTTGGAGCTGCTTTGGTTGCAGCCAACTATATTGTAACGTTTAGAAACTAATGGCGTGTTTCAAATTTAATTAATTTTAAAGAAACTGTGAGCTACTTACTTGACTAATTATTAGTACTTTCGTGCGTTAGTAAGAGCACGCTGTATACAATTCTCAAGGCCGTCGTACCCCTCGGATTAGCCAACGCATTAGCACCTATTTGTTAAGTCGGATCAAAGCAAGCTTATTATGTTGGGTTATTATATTATTACACTGTCGGGGACACGCACAATATGCTTTTAGTTACAAGCTACAATATTATAGCGTCAATAACAGTTACTTATAACATAAAAAATTGTCATCGTTAATAAAATTCAATTCCGTATCTAAGTAAGTACGGAGTGCGGCGCCTTCACGGCGTGAAATCTCTTAAAAACTTATGTAATATATGAGTTTCATAGATTTTTCTCACGTTCCCTGCAAGTGTTACATGCATTCACGTCAGGTGGGAGGGCGAGGAAGCGGGGCTCCGGGGCGGGGGGAGGTGCCTGAATTCGATTCCCGGCTATTGAAAAGTTTCAAGAGGCGAAAAGCTTCGACAAACGAAGCTAAGTGAATTTCGAGCCCTCTGAAGCCACAGGGGCGAACTCACAGCGTTGTACGAAATGTTGTGAACAAGAAGAACAATTAAGCTAGATCTAGAGCTAGAGATTAAGCTAGATAGGTCTAATAAAGCAACTCATGCTGTCGTTCGAAATGCACTACTGTTCATTAAATTCAGATATGTCCAACCGCACGTTCCAATTGAAGTTATTTATTCGTTGAAGGCCCTAATTTGTGTTATTATCGGATACTTTGTATGATAAATCATTTTTTTTTCTTGATCGAAACATTTACCATTTTCTTGTGAATTAAGGTTCAAAGTTGCATATTTTGTAGTTTATAAAATCGTTGAAAATTAAGTAACAGAAAGTTCAACGTTTCAACACTTTATTATTCTATACATTATATTGATATATACATATTATAGATTGATATTTAAT